GGGTTTGAACCACCAGCCGTCTGGTTAGGAGGTTCAAATAATCATTCAAACACAAGGTAACACAACTGGGGTTATAGCAGTGGGGAAAAAAAGAAAAGCAAGAGATGAAAGGATGCAAATGAAAGTTATGAAACAAGGATGAAGCAGAAAGAAAAATAAGGACAGTTTTATGTGTATGTGACTGGGAGAGTGACATTACTATTGACAAAAATAAGACTGTTTAGAGATAATGTTGGAATTTATAATGTTTTTGTTTCACAACTTTGAAATTTTATATTCATGTATATAACGTATGATAGCTCTCCATTAATTAAACTATTTGATTAACTAGACACTCCATTCCTTAATCATGCCAGATAGCAAAGAGCTTACTAAATGCAGAGACTATTAATATTGACACTAGCAGGAGATAGGGCGATGTTCATTCTGCAAAGAAACCAGTTAGCTGTTTGTTACTTTGTAGGGGACACCATTCTGGGACTCCAATATTGGTAAGGAGTTTACCTGTGTCTTCTTCGGTTGTTAGACCTCTGGAGAAGAAAACACAATAGCTAAGAGAGAAATGAGCCTGAACATCCTTTAGCTCCTGAAGACTTTTCAGGCTTGTTGACTCTTCCTGAGAACTTGGTAGAACCTGTGCATAGTCTTTCTCGGGGGATATGTGGGTGAGTGGGCTAAAGATCATGAAATGAAGTTCCAAAATTAAGGCAATTTAGTGAATATGTAAAGAAGAATTATCAGTCAGGTTCCCATGTCTTCCTACAGTGACTCTCAGTCCTACTTCATACAAGGGGACAACAGAATAGGAGGAAAATACTGGAAGGCTCAGTATATCGAGTATATTGATGCAAGTTTTACACGAAGAAAGAAACTCTCTGAGGCAGAAGACCATCTTGGAATTCTTGGTACAGTATAATCATTCCTCATGTTTTGAATCATGGGAGATATTTTAGCTCCACGTATATATCAATGTAGAGTGATTCTTCTTCTCTGCTCCTATTCACTCCTTTCTATTTCTTATCATCCACTTCTCCCTCCTCTTCTCAATATTTTTTAGGCCCGGTCATCAAGGCAGAGGTGGGTGATACCCTATTAGTGACCTTTGCCAACAAAGCAGACAAAGTCTACAGCATTTTGCCCCACGGTGTGATCTATGACAAGGCATCGGATGCAGCCCCAAACATAGATGGTAAGTCTCAGCCTGAGCGTATGAAGGAAATAGGATAGAGATGAATGAGCAAAAGACTTAGAACTAGACAGACCTGGCTCAAATTCTCACCAGCTCTGTGACCTTGGGCACTTAAACTTTCTGAACTTTATTCTTATCAAAAGCAGGTAATAATAACCAGGTCACAGGACCTTGGGGAGAGATGGAGAGAATTCAGGATAGGATCTGGGACAGGATCTGAGTTTCTTAGGAAATGTTAATTCCTTTCCTTTTCCCTCAATAATGTAGTAAATCTCAAAATGAGCTATTCTTATAATCACTTCCACTTCTTTAAACTGGAGAATGTTTCTGCTGAAGGTTGCATGAAATTCTGTGGGTGAAGTTTGAAGAGGAATATGGTTGCCAATGTGCTGTTAACATCAAAATGTTGAACATGGTCTTTGTTCCATATTTATCAACAAATATTTATTCAGGACAAATATTATGCGCTTATTGTCATATATGGCTTCTCCCCATCATAGAGTAGTTGGCATAGACTCTGCATGTAAGAAAGACACCTTTAGTTCAATAGTTGCAGGACTTTTCCTTCCGTTCATGACACTGTCCTGGGAAATTCTGGTCTTCTTGGTACCCTTCCCCATCACTGCAACAGACATCCTGGCTGACAGGAATACTTCTTCATGCCCAAGTGTGAGTCCAGGCCTAATTGAGAGCAGGCTGTGTAGTGATGGTGAGGGGACAGAGGAGGAAAGAATTGAGGTAGAGTCACCTTTCCCCACACCCTGCTGTAGCAATATCCCTGCACTCGTTTTCTTTCATTTCATAGGTCAAAATGCTCCAAATGACTTTGTATGTGTGTGTGTATATATGTGTATGCACAGAAAGAACACCAGTAACATCTAAAATGTTTGCATTTGGTGTTTTTCAATTCAACAAATTTATTGAAAGCACTGGACGAGATGTCAAGACAACCTCGGACCTGTCTAGTAGGAAGAATTCATCGTGTTCTTTCAGTAATATAGTATGGAGTTAAGTGCAGTCTTTGGCATTAGACAGACCTGAGTTTGCATCCTGGATCATTTGCCACCTTTTAATCTTCATCGTTCATTTACTTCATCTATCTTATAGTTTTTTGGGTTGTTTCTTAGTTCACCCTTCTAGATTTTAAACTCCTTATAGATAAAGTTCTTGCTGAACTTTTCTTGGGAATCCTCTTCAGGATCAAGAAAAATATATTTCACATAAAAGGCAGTCTAATATGCATACTCATATTTATCACAGCACTATTTACAATAGCAAAAAGATGGAAACAACCTCAGTGCCCATCAACAGATGTACCAACCGTGGTACATCACACAATGGAATACTACACAACACTAAAGAATAATGTAGAATCTGCAAAATACTGCAGAACATGGATGAACTTGGAGGACATTATGCTCAGCGAAATAAGTCAATCGCAAACATTGTATTAGTTCATTATTGTAAAAAGTCAAGGAAAGGTTTATATATGGAAGGAAACTTTCTTTGTTGGTTACCAGGGGTGGGAGGGGAGGGGAGGGGACACTCCAATAGTGAAATAAATGAAATAATAATAATAAAAGGCTGTCTAATATTTTATGGATTTACCTTTAATTGTTGAATTGTCAATATTTTTTTAATATTTGGTATTTGAGTAAGAAATAATATGCAACCTAGGAAGAAAATGACCCTTTGATTTAAACTTCCATCTTATAAAACAATAGACCATGCTAGTGGTCTCCCCTGGTAGGATACATAAGAGAGAACAACTGTCCTTATGGAAAATATGTCATCATGAGAGAGAGACATCAGGGCTGATGACCCAGCCTGACAAGTTTAATGTTCTGAGCTGTTGCTTTGAGTAATTGTTTCATTTCTCTCCTCAGGGTTTCTGAAACCAGGGGCACATGTGAAGCCAGGTGAAATTTTCACATACAGGTGGACAGTGCCTGAAAGTGTAAGCCCAACAGCTGACGACCCCCCCTGTCTGACCTATCTTTACTTCTCAGCAGTTGAACCAATCAAGGACACCAGCGCTGGCCTTGTAGGACCCTTGCTGGTCTGCAAAAAAGGTGTTCTCAATGCTGATGGAACACAGGTAGGCCATCAAATGTCACCAAGTTCTCTGAGTTATATGTGTGAATATGTTATATGTGTAATATGGCTAGAGATTAGGTAGTCATAAAGAGTCAGTTACAAATAATGATTTCTCCTCCTTTCTCTTGAAATTGACTTCTATAGAAAGTTTTTTTGTTGTTGTAAATTTAAGATCTGAATTTCCAAGTTACAAATGCCCATCCAGGAACCCAGTGGTTCTGCTTGTTGTAGCTAGAATTCCATGAGCCTCTTTCTTGTGAATTGCTTTCATTCTGGAATCTTTAGAGATCCACATGGAATGCTTATTGGGATACTTTCTTCTTGGACAGGGTTTCTCAAACTTGACTGCACATTAAATAATCTGGGACTGTAAAAATATTATTTTACTCATGTACTCCACACCAATTATATCAGACTTTCTAGATGATTCCAATGTGCAGCCAAGGCTGATAACCACAGCTTTAACTCTCAGGACCATGTAAACTGGAAGTTAATCCCTAGGGCTAAATAAGAAAGCCATGTAGGTAATTTCTTGCAGGTCCCAACTTGGAAGCTTGGATAGTTGTACTGATTAGTGTGATAAAACATTGCATTTAAGCTATGTCTACATGACATTAAACACATTGACGAAAAAAGAAAAATCCAGTATTTTAACTATTTGGACTTGACCAATAATAAATAGCAAGAAAATTTTTTCACATGCTGTATTTTATAGTGTTTGACAGTATATGGACCCACTTTTAGGCCCAAAGAAACTTCTAGGAGTAGAGGTTACAAAGCATCTTGGTCTCTCTCAGATTTTCATGTCCCTGCATGAAGGACCAGTCCTGGAAATGTCTATCAGAGGCTGAATGTGTTCCTGGCCCTCTGACTGTGTCCTCAGTAGTGCTTGTGTAATAGGAGTGAATGTTTATACCCCCTCATAAAACAACAATTACATAAGGCAAAGCAAAATGATTACCCCTACTTTAAAGCTGAAGAGACGGAGGTTCCAAGACATTGTATGCTATCCTAGGAAGCACATCTAGAAAGTAGTGAAAGTTGGCAGTAGAACACAGGACTTTGAGCATACAACTTTGTCCTTTTTCAATACATTATTCTACTTCCTACAAGCTAAATACCTGACCCAAAGAGATTGAGTGCTGAAAATTGTGCAAGGAATTTCTTATTTTGCTCTCTGGCAGTCAATTAATGGTAACTTTGAGGTTTGCTAGAAGCATCTTCTAGTCTAAGAGTTGTTGCCTGAGCCAATTCTGTTAAGGGTCAATCTACATAAAAAAAATTCATGAAAAAAGTAATAGTAACCTGGGACACTCATACTTGGATTTGGTTGAGAGAGAAATCCACCCGGCCTGACGGAAAGTTATTTTCAATGCAAGAAACACTTATGAAACATCTACTCTGTTCATCTGCCCACTTGCCTAGAAGAGGCCTGAGTATGTTTTTACCTGTAGGCCTCTTCTAGGCAGGTGGGGAGATGAAATGGAGAGAAGTGTTTATATGCCTTTCAAGTAAACTGTAAATTCTCCCCAGTGGTTAGTGGATGGATGTCGTTGAATATGGCCAGATGATTAAGGACATTTTCTAACCTGCATGACCAACCACAATAGACGTTCAAACAAATTCTCTACTTCTATTCTCCATCTATCCTATTCATTTATCCATATACCCATCCATTTTTATCTTAAACTTTTCAATTTGAAATAATTTCAGACTGATGGAAACAGTTTAAAAAAAAAAAAAAACCTACTACAAACAATTCCCAACATTCCCATATTCTTCTCCCAAACCAGAAAAACAAACCCACTGCCATCAAGACAATTCCAACTCACAGCAACTCTAAAGGACAGGGTAGAATGGCCTCATCTAGTTGCAAGGCTGCAAATCTTTGCTGAAGGAAACTGCTACATCTTTCCCCCATGGAGCAGCTGTGGGTTCAAACTGCTGACCTTTTGGTTAGCAGCCAAGTGCTTTATCTACTGCACCACCAAGCTTTACCATTCTTCACCCAGATCCCCCAATGTAAGCATTTAACCTCATTTGCTTATTAGTCTCTCTTTCTGTGTGTGTGTGTGTGTGTGTTCCTGCACTGTTTAACAGTAAGTTGCAGGCATGGTATCTCTTCAGTATGTGTTTCCTAAAAATAAGGACACTCTCTGACACACACAAAATATAATAATCAAAGTCAGGAAATTAACCTTGATACTGGACTACTATCTAATCTACAGACCTTTCAAATTTTTGCTAATTGTCTCATTAATGTCCTTTATGACAAAAGAAAAACATCCTTTTTCTGGACCAGGCTATAATCTAGGACCATGCATTGCATCTGGTCACCTCCTCCTCACATCTTCCCTTCCCCCCATGATCTATTTCATCTCAGGGCAGCAAGCTTGTGACTCTTTTAAAATGCAAAGGTCAAGCCACTTCCCTATTTAAAACCCTCCAGTGGTTTCTTACCACACTTATAATGAAATCTATACTTTCTACCTTGTCTGATATAATGCCTCACCACACACTCTCTTGCCCTCTTATGCTCCATCCACATCAGCCTGTCTATTCCTTGGACAGGCCAAGCTTACTGTGGTTTATCAAAAAAACCAAACTCACTGCCGTCAAGTTGATTCCAACTCATAGTGACCCCTCTTTGGGTTTCTGAGGTGGTATCTCTATGGAAGTAGATTGCCCAATCTTCCTTCCAAGGAGTGGCTGGTGGGTTTGAGCTGCCAGACTTCTGGTTGGCAGTCAAATGCCTTAGGCACTATGCCACCAGTCTCTATAAGAGGTCTCCCTCTGCCCAGAATGCACTTCCCCCTGATCTTCGCATGTCTGGCTTTCTCTGTCACCTCCTCAGAGAAGCATCACTTGATCCCCTAAAGAAGGGCTATAACCCAGTTCATTCAGGTTTGACCCCCTACTGAGAATTTGCATACATAAGACTCACCTATAAGAATCACTTGGGGAGCTAATTAAATTATAGATTCTAATTCAGTATATCTGGGGTAGAAATGCAAATTCACAGCAGAAGGTTGAACTAGGATCTGAAGCCCTACCCCACAGCCACCCTCTATCACCTGAGTTTAAATCTTTGTATATCATTAACCACCATTTATATTTTTCTTGTTTATTTATTTGCTTAGGTGTTATAGTATGTTTCCTCCTACAAGAATCTACATACAATGGAGCAGGGATCTTACTCATTTCCTAGAACAATTCCTGGTACATTATTGACACTGAACAAATATTTATGGTTGAGTAAATGAAATTCAGGGTGAGCACTCTTATTCTTAAAGTTATATTAAGAAGTTTAGTTAACAGAAGATGCTGTATTACACACAGCTCAAACATTAAGTGTGCAGCCTGGAAATAGACACTGAAGATAAGGACATTTTTATTTTCAAAACCCACTTACCTTACCCACATTTAAGCACTCAGAGTTGTGTGATGGTTTAGGGTTCAGATCTCCCAGTTTACCTGTTGGTGTGGGAAACTAGAATGTTCTGACTTAGATGCTCTTTCCAAAATAGCTCTGTGTTGCAGATACCAGCCATCACTCAGGTGCTCTGGGGTGTGGTCTGCTCCTGGATGGTTCTCCATCAGCATTCCATGCACAGGTGGTGCGGGCCTATTGGTTCAAACTGGGCCCTATCATCTTCCTTCTAACCTTTTTCTGGACCAATTTCCCATTTTCATAGACTTATCGTCTCCCCAGTTTTCCTCCAGTTACCTCCAGTGATAAGATCCTCCTTTCATGCTTCATTCTTGCATATGGACAATTGTAATCATGGCTAATAATAACAGCTAATACTAATTGAATGCTTAATACTTGCCATGTGTTGTGTTGAATGCTTTACTATGTTATCTAATTTAATCTTCACCAAAAACATGAGGTGGGGACAACTATTATGCTCATTTGCAAATGAGGGAATTGGAGTCTAGAGAGGGTGTATCACTTGCCCCAGATTACACCACAAGTAAGCAGAAAATCTAGCCTCAGAACCTAGGTCTGCCTGCTCTCACTGCTCATGAGTTTTATATATATATATCCCTTATTTCCCCCAATTTTTAATATTGTATTTTGAAAAATTTCAAACCTACAATGTTTTTTTCCTTAGCTCATGATCTTAAGTCACTGCTTCTAAAACATGTAATAATGCAATAACGTAAATATATTTCAGGTACAGTAGGAGTACCTACATCTTTGATGAGGAGCTAGGAAAACATCACAGAGGTGGGATGGCTAAGTCGACTCAAGGTTGGATTAGGGGTTTGCAAGGAGAAAGGGGTAGCAGACTGTCAAGGTTGAGGGAATACATGCACAAAGGACAGAGACATGCAGATCAGAAGTTCAGAGAGCTACAAGGAATGTGGCCTTGCTTCATTCAAAGTGCCAGGAGAGGAAGGTCAAGAAAGGAGGCTGAGCAGGTAGGTGGGGACCAGATCATTGTGAGTTTAAATTGTATTGTGCAATTTGAGGAGGAGAGAGAGATGGTTAGATGGGTTTGCCCTGGATCCCTCTGGGGTAGGCAGCGGGATGGAGGGTGGCTCAGAAGGGAGCACATGTGAAGGTAGGAAGACACTGTGGGACAAAGATAATCACTTATCTGGTTCAGGTTTGGAGACAAGTCTTTTTCAGAAATAAAGGACGCTCCGTGATCAGATGCACTCAAATCAACTTGGTTAGGAATATACAAAGTGGGAAGTAATCCATAGGCCCCTTAATGTCAACTTAAGTTGACATAATTTAGCAAAGTCTCATCACTGATATAAATTCATTATTTCATGCACAAACTTTTATTGAGTGCCAGGCATTTTTCTGGGAGCTGGGTAGATATAGAGAAACACAAACTGTTCTTACCTTTATGAAGACTACGTTGCAGTGGGAGAAACAGTAAAAATAAATAAATAAATCAGTTAATAAGTAAAATATAATTTCAGATGGAGATAAGTGCAATGAAGAAAAGTGAAGTAGTGTTAAGGAAAGAGAGAGAGTTTGTGGTAGGGTGGAGGATAAGCAACTCTTAGATGCAGTGGCTGAGGGAGTTCTCTCTGAGGAGGTGACATCTAGGCAGAGAACTGAATGGAGTAAAGGAGTGAGCTGCTTAAGATCTAGTCAGAGAATCTTCCAGGCAATGAGAACAGCACAAGAAAAGGCTCTGAGGCGGGAGTGAGATTGGCGTGTTGGAAGAGCAAAATATCAGAGTGACTAGTGTGAGCTGAGGTGAACACAAGGAGACGAAGTCAGAGAGAGAGACGGGGCCAGGACATATAGGACAAGGTAAGTAGAATAAGACAATGATGACCTCCTGACAATGGACATACCAAAGATTAGAAAGTTCTGAGCAGGGACTTATTTCCTCTGAGGAAGTCACATGGGGAGGGGAAAGGATTTACTGGGAAACATGAATTTCCTGGTGTAGAACGTATTCATTAGAATCATGCTCCTTACAAAATGACTTGGAGAATTTATGGCTTATGTTGATCCTAAAATGAAGCAGGGCTAAGCACTCCTGCAAGCTGCACTTTTAATGTATTCATTTTTTCTTTGCTATAGAAAGGAATAGACAAGGAATTTTACCTCCTATTCACAGTCTTTGATGAGAATCTGAGTAGGTACATAGATGAAAACATTCAGAAGTTTACCTGGCGTCCTTTCAGTGTTGACAAAGAAGACAAAGAGTTTGTGAAATCCAACCGAATGCACGGTATGAAAAATTTCCCTCCTGCCTTTGAAGTGAAACTATTTGGGAAATGTTATAAATATCTTCATTTTTGTTTCTTGGGTACTGTCCTTGGCCATGAGTAAGTTACTTCATGCCTTCAACTTCACAAGTGTATTGAAACTTCCCTATATCCCAGAAATGCTGTGAAGCTTAATTAATACTTCTAAAGAACTTCTTCAGCCTTAGATGAAGCAGCATAAAATTTGAGCTTGCAAAAATGACATTACATCACATAAATGGCCTTCTGTAATAATCCCATTGTCAAATAAAGGTACTTTCATTTCTGTGTCCACAAAAACCGTGGAACTAGGTAATTTTACTCAAATGTCTGGAACTCTTACCTTCATGAAGACTACACTGCAGTGGGAGAAACAGTAAAAATAAATAAGTAAATCAGTTAATAAGTAAAACATAATTTCAGATGGAGTTTTATCCATCTGAAGTTCTTCATTGCATTCTTGGAATGTAGAAATTCCAAGAAGCCCTGGGCTTCTGAAAGAACACCATATCTTCTTGGGGAGGGGTGGGTAATTTGATGCTTTTGTAAATAAACTATCTAAATCTTCTCCACAAAATATTAAAGAAGTATCTGTATAAATCAGGGTGCTAATAAATGTAGTCGTTGCCTGGCCAGTAGAGGATCTTTTCTTGTCTTGAAACTTGTTTAAAGAATTGGGCATTAGTGGGAGGTAGGCAGTAAGGGGCATCAAGCACAAGACATAATTGTGTGCAATCTTCAGATGTTTCTGTTCAACTATGGCATTTGTACCCACAGAGTCTGAATGTGGTTCTAAATTCTTCTCAAGACAGTGTTCTAAACCAAACCAAAACCAAACTCACTGCCATAGAGTAGGATCTGACTCGTAGTGACCCCTCCTTGGGTTTTCAAGGCGGTATCACTATGGAAGTAGATCACCCTATCTTCTTTCCAAGGAGTGGCTGGTGGGTTTGAACCACCAGCCTTCTGGTTAGCAGTCAAATGCTTTAGGTACTATGCTATCAGAGCTCCCTGTTCCTAGAACACTACTTGCAAATCTTTCAAATGACACAGGAACCATGATGTCAATAAAATGATGTCTGATAACTTTTACTTTATTATTTTTTTGTAGTTGTGAGTTTTTTTGGTGAGCATACATATTTAATTTTTAGGAGGTTATCTAATCTGTCTTCTGTTGTTTGTGCATTCATATGTGTTTGCTAACTTCTAAAATCAAGTGCAAAGCCATTGACATGTGAAGATTTGGTAGCATTAAGTGAATCAAAACTGAAGAAAAGACACTTAAGGAAGATGATAGGAGAGGAATCTCAAAAAAGGATTCTTTTCCTAACAAAAGTTTTAGAAAAGGAATTTGGGGAAATTCATAAAGTCCACAAGTACTTTGACAAGAATGATGCTTTTCATGATTGTGCTGCCAAAGTCAAATGTGAAACAAAAAATACCACATCACGCCTTCAAACAATTTTGCCAGAAAAATTATGCCAAAAAACAACCTGATTTATTCCTGATTGATTCTCAGATTTAGTGCTATTAAATAGGATGTTTACATAATTTTAGTATATTTACATTAATACTCACTGTCAAAGAGTCAATTCCAACTCATAATGACCCCCCACTGGGTTTCCAAGGTTGTAAATCTTTATGAAGGCAGACTGCCCCATCTTTGTTCCACTGAGCAGCTGGTGGGTTTGAACCACTGACCTTTTGGTTAGCATCCAAACGCCTTAACCACTACATCACCAGATCTCCTATATTTTCATATGGAGACCAAAATTAATGACTAATGAAAATATTAGTCATTATTAATTTTGGTCTCTGTTTTAAATGGACTCCCTGAGTGTCTTTCCCTGGTAACAAAGATCTTCTGTAAATAGTTTACACATCATTTGCACTCTCCCTATCTTTCACCAAGATGATGTGTTTTCAGTATATGCATGCATAAGTAGAGTGGGCTTTGACTATGTTTTTCTTTTCACTTAGCTATTAATGGCTTTATGTATGGCAACCAGCCAGGCCTAAGCATGTGCAAAAAGGATCGAGTCTCCTGGCATATGATTGGAATGGGCACTGACACCGACATGCATGGAGTTTATTTCCAAGGGAACACCATCCACCTCCGAGGGACTCACCGAGACTCACTGGCCCTGTTCCCTCACATCTCCACAACAGCATTCATGCAGCCAGACCATGCAGGTAAACTTGGCGGGTCCAGTTTAGGTGACCAAACTCCTATCATGGGCACATCTTCTTAGAGTTCTCTTCCAGAAAAAAATTGTTAGGATTTGGGCAATTCAGAAGAGTGTGAAAAGAGATACCATCTTGATTAGAATCAGCATTCTCAGTATTTTACTCAAAATACATAGTGGAAAAAACAGAAGAGAAACATCAACAATAGCATCCACAGAGGAGAAATGGGAACCCTCTAAATGCCTTGCCACACAAATCCTAAGAGGATGCACCTAATTCATGTCTAAGAACAATTCTGCTCCAAGAAAGATGATATTCACTGTTCTCTTTAAGTACAAACATCATTCCAGTTCTGAACCATCTACCAAGCATGGGCAGCCCAGCAGGTGTTTCCAGGTTATAGACATGGCCTGGTCTCCCTTCTCCAGAGATGGATAGTGGACTCTTAATGAATTATTTGGGGGCTTCACAATTCTCTATTTGAATTGCAACGTTGCTAGGAATCCTTGTTTTCCCCAGAAGGCAAGCTGCATTGGGACTGGAGTCCATGGAGTCCCTGGAGGGCCCAGTAAAGTGCCACCTGGTCCTTTCTCTCAGAGACAATCAGGGCATTTTAAATAAAAGATATACAGCACCACATGACAGAATATGCCAGGTGCTGCATGAACAAGAGCCATGGGCATTGAACTTGTTTTCCCAACACAACTTTTTTTGTCAGTCTTAGCAAGAAAACAATCTGCTACTCAAGATAATTCGCTGACTCTGCCTCTTTTACTAATGGATGTTCTACTTTGTTGCTTCAAACTGGAATGCAGTTTAGACGCTTTTCAATCTCATCAATGAAGAACTCAAGGCTGCAGCTTCAAAATCTTTACCTAAGAACTGGCAAAGTAGGAGCTCTGTAATCGTTGCCTTGCAAGCTGTCTTCGTATTGAACCTGTCTACATTAGTACAGTTGATCAACTATGAATCACCCAAAACAAGTGATGCCCTGAGCACAATGTTGGTTTTCTAAAATACATTTCTCAAAGAGGGGAGGAGAGTGTCAAACAGCCAAATAGTTTTCATCCATAGACACAGGCACTAAATACTGGTGCCAGCTGAAATAATTAAAAAATTTTGGCTACTTATTCCAGTGTCATGATCATTACTCATATACTCTAAAGAGTTTCATGATAAGGTTTTCTGGTTTACGTTTGATAGTGAACATAATTATGTGGCTGCTTACAAACTTGGTCATTCTCCAATTCCTGTCCCTTATTTCTACATCATGAAGAGCATCCAAAAAGTGGGTAGATTGTAGGCTGCAACTCAAACATTTCCTCTTTGTTCTCAGAGAAGTTAATTCCTTGACTATTGAAGAACAATGATGAATGAAAAAAATAATGGACTGCCTGGAAAAAGCATTTGCAGAGGGGGCCCTTGCCAAGTCTGTCTTCATCAGTGTCTTCTCTTGTTTCATGGACACATTTCCTTTTGAGAGTCCCTGTCAATGCCTAGGAGTGTTTGGGCATCCACTGTACCAACAGTTTTTGCTCATCCTGACAGAGTAACTTAGCAATGTTTAGACAACACAGTCATATGTGGAGCGAGATAGAAACAACTCTGTGCTTTGTGGATAGTTAATGAGAGAGGCATTGATCTCTCACCTCTGAGAACTGTATAGTAGGGTAACCAGTTGCTGTTGAGTTGATTCTAACTCATGGCGATCCCATGTGTGTCAGAGTAGAACTGTGTTACTTAGGGTTTTCAATGGCTGGTTTTTTGAAAGTAGATCACCAGGTGTTTCTTTCCAGGAGCCTCTGAATGGACTTGAATCTCTGATCTTTCAGTTATTAGGCAACTGCATTAATCATATGCTCCAGCCAGGGACCCTACTAGGGGAACTAGATTTATTGATCCAATAATTTCACTGAGAATTAACATCTGCTAGTAATTTGTTTGTTTTGTATAATTCAATGGTGAGTTCAATTAGGGTATATCTATCTGATGCCAATGCATCTAGAAAATTCAGTTAAAAATTTATATAATCCTCAGTCCAACTTGAGTGTTGGTAATATGTAGACAAATCTATTAGCTAGTTGATTTGTTTTCTTTTATCTTTTATTCTGGTATAAAGTAGGCCTACCATTGGGAATGAGAACATCTTTTGCTCAAGGTCTTAATGAAATAATACATTTGGCTTTAAAACTAATAATACCTTACATGTATATTACACTTTGTAGTTTATGAAATCCTTTAGGGAAAAATACATGACTACAGAAATGGTGGCCTAATTTGAACTTTATCTAGAATCTTAATCTACAGGTAATTAGTTCCCTTTAAACTGGGTTGGATAGTCACATGTATCAGTGATTTTTCAGAAGTCACTATCTTGTAACAGGTATGTATAATTGGGAACACTCAGAGAAATCATATATATATTCTTTATTATTTATTATATATATAATTTTACCACTATATATATATATATATATATATATATATATATATATATACACACACACATATGTATGTATATGTGTATATGTGTGTGTGTGTGTGTGTATACACACACCACTCATCTGTCAGTTTGTTGTACTGTGGTGGCGTGCATGTTGCTATGAGGCTGAAGGCTATACCACCAGTGTTTCAAATACCAGCTGGGTCACCCATGGTGGACAGATTTCAGCGGAGCTTCCAAATTAAGATAGACTTGGAAGAAGGAAGGGGCCATCTACTTCTCAAAGAATTGGACAGTGAAAACCTTATGAATAGGAATGAAACATTGTCTGATACAGCACTGGAAAATGTTATGAATAGCCCTGAAACTTTGTCTTACATAGAGCCAGAAGGTGAGCCCCTTAGGTTGGAAAGCACTCAAAATATGACTGCGGAAGAGCTGCCTCCTCAAAGTAGAGTTGATCGTAATGATATGGATGGAGTAAAGCTTTTGGGACCTCCATTTGCTGCTGCGGCAAGACTCAAAATGGGAAGGAAAAGCTGAAAACATCCATTAATAATCAGACCATGGCATGTACAAAGTAAGAATCTAGGAAAATTGGAAGTTGTCATAAATGAAATGGAATGCATAAAGACCAATATCCTAGAGATTAGTGAGCTGAAAAGGACTGTTTTTGGCCATTTTGAGTCAGACAATGACCGACTAAGCCAGGAATGACAAACTGAAGAAGAATGGTGTGGCCTTTATCATCACAAAGAGTGTTTCAAGATCTATCCTGAAGTACAATACTGTCAGTGATAGGATAATATCCATACACCTACAAGAAAGACCAGTCACTACTACTATTATTCAAATTTATACACCAACCACCAAAGCCAAAGATGAGGAAATTGAAGATTTTTACCAGCCTCTGCACTCTAAAATTGACCAAACGTGCAATTAAGATATGTTGATTATTACTGGTGACTGGAATGCAAAAGTTGGAAACAAAGAAGAATCATCAGTGGTTGAGAAATATGTCCTTGGTCATAGAAATGACATTGGTGATCACATGAGAGAATTTTGCAAGACCAGCAACTTATTCATTACAAATACCCTTTTTTCAACAATGTAAATGGCCACTATACACATGGACTTCACCAGATACACAGGAATACACAAGAGATGATGGAGAAGCTCAATATCTACAGCAAATACAAGGCCATGAGCTGACTGTGGAACAGACCATCAACTGCTCATAAGCGAGTGCAAGTTGAAGCTGAAGGCAACTAAAACAAGTACGTGAGAGCCAATATATGACCTTGATTATATCCCTCCTGAATTTAGAGATCATCTAAAGAATGGATTTGACTCAATGAACACCAATGACCAAAAACCAGAGGGACTGTGGGATGACATCAAGAACATCATCCATGAAGAAAGCAAAAGGTCACTAGAAAGACAGGAAAGGAAGAAAAGACCAAAGTGGATGTCAGAAGAGACTCTGAAACTTGCTCTTGAATGGAGAGTAGCTATAGCAAATGGAAGAAAAGACAAGATAAAAGATCTGAACAGAAGATTTCAAAGAGCAGCTCAAGAAGACAAAGTCAATTATTATAATGAAATGTGCAAAGACTTGGAGTTAGAAAACCAAAAGGGAAGAACATGCTCAGCATTTCTCTGGCTGAAAGAACTGAGGAAAAAAATTCAAGCCTCGAGTTGTGATATTGAAAGATGCTATGGGCAAAATATTGAATGATGCAGGAAACATCAATAGAAGATGGAAGGAATACACAGAGTGAGTCACTGTACCAAAAAGAATTGGTCAATGTTCATCCATTTCAGGAAGTGGCATATGATCAAGAACTGATGGTATTGAAGGAAGAAGTCAAAGATTCACTGAAGGAATTGGTGAAAAACAAGGCTACAGGAATTGACAAGTTACTCATTGAGATGGTTCAACAGATGGATGCTGCACTGGAGGCACTCACTCGGTTATGTCAAGAGATTTGTAAGACAGCTACCTGGCCAACTGACTGGAAGAGATCCATATCTGTACCCATTCTAAAGAAAGGTGATCCCACAGAATGTGGAAATTATCACATACAAGTAAAATTTTGCTGAAGATAATTCAAAAGCAGTTGGAGCAATATATTGACAGGGAGCTTCCAGAAATGCAAACTGGATTCAGAAGAGGACATGGAACGAGAGATATCATTGCTGATGTCAGATGGGTCTTGGTTGAAAGCAAAGAATACCAGAAAGATGTTTACTTGTATTTTATTGACTATGCAAAGGCATTTAACTGTATAGATTATAACAAATTATGGATAACATTGAGAAGAAAGGGAATTCCAGAACACTTAATTGTACTCCTAAGGAACCTGTACATAGATCAAGAGGCTGTCATTGGAACAGAACAAGAGAATACTGTGTGTTTTAAAATCAGTAAGGGAGTGTGCCAGGGTTATATCCTTTCACCATACTTATTCAATCTGTATGCTGAGCAAGTAATCCAAGAACCTGGACTATATGAAGAAGAACACGGCATCAAGATTGGAGGAGACTCATTAACAACCCAATATGCAGATGATACAACCTTGCTTGCTGAAAGTGAGGATGACTTGAAGCACTTACTAATGAAGATTGAAGAATACAGTCTGCAGTATGTATTACACAACATAAAGAAAACAAAAATCCTCACAACTGGACCAATAAGTAGTATCTCAATAAATGGAGAAAAGATTGAAGTTGTTAGAGATTTCATATGACTTAGTTCCACAATCAATGCCAATGGAAGCAGTAGTCAAGAAATCAGACATCGTATTACACTGGAAAAATCTAGTGCAAAAGATCTCTTTAAAGTGCTGAAGAGCAAAGATTTCTCTTTGAAAACAAAGGTGTGCCTAACTCAAGCTGTGATGTTTTCATTTGTTTCATATGTATGTGAAAGGTGCACAATGGATATGGAAGACCAAAAAAGAGTTGATGCTTTTGAGTTGTGGTGTTGGCAAAGAATACGGAAAGTACCATGGACTACCAGAAGAACTAACAAATCTGTCCTGCAAGAAGTGCAGCCAGAATGCTCCTTGGACACCAGAATGGTCAGACTTCATCTCGCCTACTTTGGTCATGTTGTTGGAAGGGACCCTTCCCTGGAGAAGGATATCGTGCTTGGTAAAGTAGAGGGTTATTGCAAAAGGGGAAGGCCCTCCACAAAATGGATTGACACAATGGCTGCCACCATGGGCTCAGGTATACCAAGGATTGTGAAGCTGGGACAGGACAGAGCAGTGTTTTGTTCTGTTGTACACAGGTTCACTATGAGTTGGAGCCAGCTCAATGGCACCTAACAATAACAGCATGTATACATACATACATATATAGATAGATAGATATAGATATAGATATAGATAGATAGATTGTGGTTGTTGTTGTTGTTAGGTGCCGTCAAGTCGTCTTTGACTCATAGTGATCCTAGGCACCACAGAACAAAATACCACCTGGTCCTGAGCCGGCTCCATGATTCTTGCTATACTTAAGCCCATTGCCACTACCACCATGTCACTCTGTCTCGTTGAGGGCCTTCCCCTCTTTTGTCAACCCTCTACCTTACCAGGCATGACATCCTTCTCCAGGGAATGGTCCCTTCTTACAACATAACCAAAGTATTTGAGACAAAGTCTGGCCATTCTTGCCTCCAAGGAGCATTCTGGCTGCACTTCCTCCAGGACAGACCTCTTAGTTCTTTTAGCAGTCCATGGTAGTTTCAGCATTCTTCGCCAACACCACAGCTCAAAAGCATCAATTCTTCTTCAGTCTTCCTTATTCATTGTCCAGCTCTCACATGCATATGAGGCAATTGAAAATACCATAGCTTGTGTCAGGTGCACCTTAGTCCTCAAGGAGACATCTTTGCTCTTCAGCACTTGAAAGAGGTCCTTTGCAGCCAATTTGCCAAGTGCTATACATCGTCTGATGTCCTGACTGCTGCTTCCATTGGCATTGAGTGTAGAACCAAGTAATGCGAAGTCTTTGACAATTTCAATCTTTTCTCCATTTGTCATAATGTTGCCTATAGGACCAGTTGTGAAGATTTTTGTTTTCTTTATGTTCAGATGCAATCCATACTGCAGACTATATTTTTCAATCTTCATCAGTAAGTACTTCAAATCATCCTCACTTTCAGCAAGCAAAGTTGTGTCATCAGTGTATCACAGGTTGTTAATGATTCTTCCTGCAATCCCAATGCCACGTTCTTCTTCGTATAGTCCAGTTTCTTGGATTTTTTTTTGCTCAGCATACAGATTGATTAAGTATGGTGAAAGGATACAACTCCGACACACTCCCTTTTTGATTCTGTTCCAGTGACAGCCTCCTGGTCTATGTACAGGCTCCTCATGAGTATAATTAAGTGTTTGGGAATTCCCATTCTTCTCAATGTTATCCACAATTTGTTATGATCCACACAATCAAATGCTTTTGCATAGTCAATAAAACACAAGTAAACATCTTTCTGGTATTCTTTGCTTTGAGCCAAGATCCATCTGACATCAGCAATGATATCCCTTGTTCCATGTCCTCTTCTGAATCCAGCTTACATTTCTGGAAGTTCTCTGTCAATATACTGCAGCAACTATTTTTAAATTATCTTCAGTAAGATTTTACTTGCATGTTATATTAATGATATTGTCTGATAATTTCCACATTCCGTGGGATCACCTTTCTTTGGAATGGGTAGACATATGGATCTCTTCCGGTTGGTTGGCCAGGTAGCTGTCTTCCAAATTCTTGGCATAACTGAGTGAGTGCCTCCAGCGGGGCATCCGTTTGTTGAAACATCTTAGTGGGTATGCCATCAATTCCTGGAGCTTTGTTCTTTGCCAATTCTTTCAGTGAAGCTTTGACTTCTTCCTTCAATACCATTGGTTCTTGAACATATGCCACCTCCTGAAATGGATGAAGATCCACCAGTTCTTTGTGGTACAGTGACTCTGTGTATTCTTTCCATCTTCTATCTATGCTTCCTGCATCATTCAATATTTTGCCCACAGAATTTTTCAATGTTGCAACTCGAGCTTAAATGTTTTCCTCAGTTCTTTCAGCTTGAGAAATGCCAAGTGTCTTCTTTTTCCCTTTTGTTTTTCTAACTGCAGGTCTTCGCACATTTCATTATAGTAAATGGCTTTGTCTGCTCAAGCTGCTCTTTGAAATCTGTTCAGCTCTTTTACCATGTCATTTCTTCCATTTACTTTAGCTACTCTTCGCTCAAGAGCAAGTTTCAAAGTCTCTTCTGACATCCATTTTGGTCTTTTCTTTCTTTCTTGTATTTTTAATGACCTCTTGCTTTCTTTATGGATGATGCTCTTGATGTCTTCCCACAATTCTTCTGGTTTTCGGTCATTGGTGTTCAATGCATCAAATATATTCTTTAGATGGTCTCTAAATATATAGTGGTAAAAGTATATATAACAAAACATTTACCAATTCAATTTTTATACATATAATTCCATGACATTGATTATGCTTATCCTGTTGTGTAACCACTACCATTATCTTTTTCCAAATTATTCTACCACCATTGACAGAAACTCAGTGCCCCCTAAGCAAAGACTGCTGCCTTCTTTCCCCTTCCTTCCCATTCCTGGTCACCACTGATAAGCTTTGGTCTCTATACCCATTGCCACAGAGATGATTTTCACTGATAGCTATACTATAGAAAACAGAACAGTCTCATAAGGTTTCCAAGTCTATCAGTCTTTAAGGAAGCAGATTACCACATCTTTTTCCCAAAGGGCAGTTGCTGGTTTTGAACCTCTGACTTTTCAGTTAGCAGCCAAGCACTTAACCACTGTGCCACTAGGGTTCCTTTGGTCTCTATACGAAAAACCAAACCAAACCCACTGTGGTTGAGTTGATTCTGCCTCATAGTGACCTTATAGAACAAAGTAGAACTGCCCAATATGGTTTCCAAGGCTGTAAATCTTTATAGAATCAGACCACCTCATCTTCCTCTTATGGAGCGGCTGATGGGTTCTGGGTTCGAACTGCCAATCTTTTGGCCTTACCCACTGTACAACCGGCACTCTACATTTGCCCATTTCATTTAAGTAGGATTATACAATACATGCCCTTTCTGGTTAGCAACATTCTGAGATTTATCTTTCCATTGCAACTGAATTTTTTATTGTATTTTATTTTTTCAGAAGTAAAAGTATTCAAAGTAATTTATTCCCCTTGGGTTCTGATTTTAAAATACTAAATAATATTTATTTATTTATTTATTATTATTGTTAAATTTACCTTACTGGTTACTTATTTTGAAATAAAATATATAGGTTTGGCAAAAACAACCCAAAAGGCATTAAGCCCTGCACAATGCCAGGCGGTTTCTCTTTCAGGCATTTTCAGGGTGTTCTGTACCACCATGCACCACTTCATGAGAGGCATGAATCAGATCTATGAAGTCAACAGCTGTGGCAACAAGGACCCTTCTGAGCAGCCATACGGGATGATAAGAACCTTTTACATCGCTGCTGAAGAGGTAGAATGGGATTATGCCCCTAACAAAAACTGGGAGTTCGAAAAGCAGCACTTGGACGCAGGAGGGGAAAGGTACCACAGGCGAAGCCGCCAAATCTCTTGGGTGGGATTGCACATGCTCTGTAGGCGTTTATCAAATGTTGAAACCTCAAATAGCCCTGGTGTGGTCTGCACAGTTTTGGCAAGCAGACCTCTACCTATTAGCACCAAAAATGAGGGAAGCTGTCCATCTCCACCCTAGACAGGGAGTCTGAAGTCATTTTTAGGGCATTCCCCTACAGGCCCTGGATACTTTTTTTCAGTGGCTGATTATACTGTGTGACTATCTGAGGAACGTGCCTTTGAGTGAGTGCACAGCATGAAGAGGATTAGGAGAAAGGCGGGTCTTACAGGAGGAGTGGTATGGAGACACAAAAGGGTCTAGAGGGAGGCTGGGGTTGTGTACAGATCTGAAGTGAAAGGATGGACTACTGGAGACCGAAGGCCTTGAGGATGGGGAACTAAGGATGAGATACTATCCTCGTCCAGGTGTGTGTGGAGGCAACCAAGGAAGGGTAGGAGGCCATTACCTTGGCAGACACCCTCAAGTTAGGTTAGGAAGAAAAGCTCTCTCTACTAGGCCCTGCACCCAGAAAATTTACAAGGTTGACCCTTCCCTGAAAGTGCTGTCAGCCAGTACTGTGTGCTAATAGAATGAGTGCAGTGTTCAAGTCATGAGCATGTTTGTGAGCTTTGGGTCCCTACCTGCCCTAAGCCTGAGACTACCAAGCAACCAAGCACCGAGGTTGGAGTAAAGTTAAACAAGAAGGGAATAGAGGTATCTGTCAGACACAGACCTATAGACCCCATTCCCAGAAGTTAATGCCCCCAGTCACAACTCACTGCCTGAGTATTATTGTCCTGATACATAGATGAGGACACTGAGGTGCAGAGTTAAACTAGTCAGTGGCAGAGTTGTAACTGAGTTATAATCTTTTGGACAACAAATCCTTGCTTTTAATCACAGTAATACCACATTGCATTCCTGCCGCAGGCTCTTCTTTGCTCTTTATCACTCCCTCCTTTCCCAACCTTCCCCTCTCCCTCTACTTCCCTACTCTCACCTTATACTCACCTTATACTGGCTATGCCACACACAAACTCTTCTACTGGCAAAATGTTCCTAATTCTAACGTTGTTTCCTTTTTCGCTTGGCCCAGAATTTTATGAGTTCAGATTCTGAAAAAGAGAGTATAACAGTGCCATCTTATGGAGAAACAAAACAAAAGGAAAACCTACTTTTCGTTTTGAAAAGATTTGCCTCCAACTCCACCTCCAGTTGCCATCAAGTCCCTTCAGACTCCTGGCCACTCAAGGTGTGTTAGAAGAGTAAGACTGTGCTCCATAGGGTTTTCAGTGGCTGATTTTTCAGAAGTAGATCAACAGGCTTTTCTTCTGAGGCATCTCTGGGTAGACTCAAATGCCAACCTTTTGCTTGGTAACTGAGCCATTAATCATTTGCACCACCAGTGACTCCCAGACAGAGGATTTAAAATGCAATTGATTATTCACTACTCCATTTGTTAAACTAGACACCCTTCTCCTGCAAAACTGTTGTTTGCTGCCAATAAATACAGTGGAAAAGAAAATGGATACGAATTTGACCTTTTCTAACTAAAGAAATAATTGTATAATAATGTTGTAGCATGTACAGTATTAGTCCATGGACATGAGTGTGTAAGAAACATAGCTTTAACTGTTTTCTTGAAACTCAAATATTTGTCTTAAGCTTCATTCTTCTAGACTGGAGGGAAAATCTAGTTTCAGTCTTCTGGGATTCTTTCTCCTGGTGACATAGAGAGGTAGATGGTACCAGCAGAAGAAAATGGAGTAGGGGGATGGAATGTGCTACTGTTGTATATTGCCCCTTGTCACTCTGAATATTGCCTCAAAATAAATAAAAAGTGTAAAACAAGGGCATGTTCATATGTTCAAATTATAACACATTCTATAGATAAAACTTAATGCAAAACTGAAATTCTAACTTCTCCCAATGGCAAGTTTCTGGAATTTCTGTATATAAGCACCCTGGAATAAATGCCCACACAGTATCCCCACTGCTATGCCTCTGCCCTCTCCCCAAGGCCATGATATGGGGGTGCACCCAGTTTTCAAGCCACAGCTCAGTATGGGTTATCCCTGAGACATGATTGTCCTGGTCAGCGTGGACCCTCTGGCTCACCCTGGGGACCTAGAAATCTTCTCTGAGGCTTCCAAGGAACACACTGGGATGCACCAGAATGTCAAAGGCAACACATAAGACCATCCACACAAGGCCAGGGAGAAGTTTGTATAATGTGTTAGATTTTGAACACAAAAATTAAGTTGCTGTAGGAAAATAAAGTTGTATTTCTGGTAGTCCTCAATTTGTGGATTGATGTTCCTTTAATTTAACCATACTTGATTCATGAAAATAATTGCCGCCTACTGAGCATCCACTGTATGCCAGGCATTTTGCTAGGGTTTTTACAATCCTTATCTGATATGAGGACATGGAATGGTCCAAATAGTTTGTGGTGCTATGGAAGAAAGGCTTGGTGATCTGCTTATCTGAAGATCATAGCCAAGAGAACCCCATCAAGCTCAGTTATACTCTGTAATACGTGGGATCACAATGAGTTGGAATCGACTCAACAGCAACAGGGTTTTGTTTTGTTTTGTTTTGTTTTACCTCTGTTATGACTCTCACAACACACTTGACCCATTTAATCAATTTGTGTCAGCATCTCACACAGCCTCCTAGGGAAATGATATAAAGCAAGCACTCACACAGTGCTCTCTGTGGGTGACAGAGGGCTTTGCAGATATTACTCATTCCTGTGTGGTAGATGCATCTTTATCACTCCATTTAGAAGAGAGGTAAGCTGGAAAACAGTAAAGCATGGCTCCAGGGTCAGTGCTGTTAACCACCACACATATTACTAGTACTCCTGGAAAACAAAAGAAGAAAACTATCTTCCCTTGGAAAGCATATAGTCTAGAGTAGAAGGTGATGTGCATTTAAAAAATATTTAACATGTACTACATGCTAGACATGTGGCATAGTGCCTAAGGCATTGGACTCCTAACCAGAAGGCTGGCGATTCAAACCCACCAGCCACTCCTCGGAGGGAAGGTTGGGCAATCTACTTCCATAAAGATACTGCCTCGGAAACCCAAGGAGGGGTCACTATGAGTCGAATCTACTCAAGAGCAGTGAGTTTGATTTTTGGTTTATGTGTTAGACATTGTGCAAAGTGATGGTGCAACAGTGCTGAGAAACATAGACAAGGTCCACGGTCCATGGGGAAGGTACCAGAACAAGCGTATTGTGAGCGCTATAACAGGAGATGTACAGGGCAGCAGAAGTAGCATACAGCTATGTCTAGGGGAAGAGTGAGGAGAGGTAGGTGGTCAGGGAAGCCTTCCCAGAGGAAGTAGGCTTTAAGCTGAGATAGAAGAGTAGACCAGTTGAACTCAAAAAACTCACTGCCATCAAGTCGGATCCAACTCACAGCTACCCCTCCTTGGGTTTCTGAGGCAGTATGACTATGGAAGTAGATTGCCTAACCTTCTTTCCAAGGAGTGGCTGGTGGGTTTGAACCATCAGCCTTCTGGTTAGCAGTCCAATGCCTTAGGCACTATGCCACCAGAGCTCTCAAGAGGAGGGAAAAGTGTTGTAGGCAGAGGAAATAGCATAGGTGGCAGCTTGAAGGTGACTAAAAACATTTTGTGATCTAGAGAACAAATGTTTAGAATGACCCAAGCGTCCGGTGTGTGGGGACTAGTGATGGGAGATAGGAGTGGGGAGTTCAGCAAAGGCAGATAATGAAGGGGCTTGAGAGCCAAAGTGAGGAGTTTGGCTGTGGGAAGCCATAAAAGAGTTTTCCATAAGGACCGATTTGGTTGAATATAATATAATATAATATATTATATTATATTATATTATATTATATTATATTATATTATATTATATAGTTCAGGATCACTCTGCCTGCAGTGTGGAGAAAAGATGGAAGGGAGGAGTATAGGCGGAGGAAGGAAGATTAAGAGCAATTCCAGGTAAGTGATGTAGATGGCTGAGATTAGAGGGCAGGCAGTTTAATGGTGGGAAATGGAAAGATGTGAGACACACTATATTTGGGAGATAGAATTGATAAGACTTGGGATAGATTAAATATACATGTTCTTGTATCTAATTTGTACATAGGTATATGCACAACGCACAACTCAAAGGCTTTCTTGAGATTGTTCTAAGTGGGAAAAATAGCAAGGTACAGAAAGATTCACATGGAATCTGAAGGACTTCAGGGTGGTGAAGGGTGTGTGTGTGTGTGTGTATGTGTGTATGCCCATACATGTGTGTGCGTGTTTGTGTGCTTAGTTAGTCCAAGAAGCAAAGTACAACCTCATGGGACCCTTGAGAGTCTATCAGCAAAACTGGCTCCATTCAGCACCCATCAGGGATTTTAGAGTAGGGATTTCTAAGGGTGGGTTCTGGGCCCATGCTGACTGCCCACATCAGATCCACACTGCCCCCTGAAAAACATTAAAATGCAGATTCCTGACCAGAGAGACTGGTGTAAAAGGTCAGCTCCCCAGTGAGATCCTGACCACAGCCAGGTTTGGGAAGTTCTGGAAAATGAAAGAGCTCTGGAGTACCCCTGAATCACTCCACCTTCTAACAACTTTAATTTCTTATGATTCCAACTTGCAGACATGGAGATATATTTATGAACCACACTGAAAACTGGATTGGCTCTCAGTACAAGAAGGTGGTTTACAGGGAATACACCAACGGCGAATTTGTGGAGATCAAAGCCCGGCCGCCGCAAGAACAGCACTTAGAACTTCTGGGTACGAAACAGGTTTCAGCCTCATGCACACCTGCACACATGTGTCCTGTTAGACTTAGGCCTGAGCAGGGATGGGAGGAACCAAGCAGCCTGGCTGCATTCATCCAAGTGCAGCATCTTTAAGCTGTGCATTCCAGGGAGCATGCTGTGTGTTCAGCTCTTACCAGATACCAGTTGCCATCCGGTGGATTCCAACGCACAGAGACCCATGTATGTCAGAGTAGAAGTGCACTCCATAGGGTTTTCAGTGGCTGAAGTTTTGGAAGTGGATAGCCAAGGCTTTCTTCAAACGCACCCCTGAGTGGACTTGAAACTCAAACCTTCTGGGTAGCAGCTGAGTGCATTAACAGTTTGCATCTCCCACCCATTCCTCATACCAAATAAGAATGAAAATATGACTACCAGATTGTGCACAGACAGGAATGGATATTATCAGAGCGATATGACTGGTATCTGTTTTTCTGAAGGTCCTTTCCCAGCATGCAATAGCTCATCCCTGTACCCCTCAGCTGAGCCAGGAAATTTTAATTGAAAACACTTTGATGCTTCAGAACAGCAGGCAGAGTGTTTGAATAACTTCTTCAAGGTCCCAGATTACCCATGCACAGTGTTATAACAACATGCTATAAAGATAATTATAAAGAAAGAGAAACTCCTTACATGAGAGGGATGCCAAGGGCCAGAGGTATGGCTTCATTCTGGAGGCCCTGGCCTTCTTGGGACCCATTGGTCCTGTCTACATATCCACATACCATTGGGCTGTCTGATGCCCTGAACTGCCTGACCTGGTGGCCGGATAACCTCTTCCTGTTTTCCTTCTCCACTTTTCTTCACCTGGGGAGTACCAGACCGTTATGAAGATACTATTTTAAGGCAGAGGGCTAATCCAGATGACTTTTTGAAATCCTTTCCCGCTTTTAAATGTTGTTGTTGTTGTTGTTATGTGCCATTGAGTCAGACCTGACTCATAGCGACCCTCCTTGGGTTGCCGAGGCAGTATCACTATGGAAGTAGATTGCCCAACCTTCCTTCTGAGGAGTGGCTGGTGGATTTGAACCGCCAGCCTTCTGGTTAGCAGTCAAGTGCCTTAGGCACTATGCTACCAGAGCTCCTACTTTTAAATGTAGAAGGTAACATATAAATAGTATGACTTTACACAGTGCTTTTGAATATTAAAGTAAGGCACCTGATTCTTACCTTGAGAAATTATTAAATGCTTCATCTACCGTCCCCCAAATCTCCACTACCTATTAACATTGGCACATGGGCTTGTTTGTCTTACCAAATGAGTCAGACCTGATGAGAACCAGAGGTGGATTACCCAATAAGCAAGGTAAGCATGGGTTTACTTGTACTTACTTAATACTGTATAGTGAACAATTACTGTGATGAAACCCATGTGAACTTGTTCATTACAGATTAGTAAGTAAGCCATGTAAGCCCATGCTTACCTGATTATTGAGTAATATAACACTGATGGAAATATTCATTCATTGGAGCCAGTATATATCTGTGTGTGTATGTCTGTGCATGTGAGGTGAGAGCTCTGAAGAGAAGGAGCCTGTCCTGCTAAGAGGCTGAGCTGTCCGCACAAAAGCCCTAGTTTGGGTCTGCTCAGTAAAATGACAAGGACAGAATGAATTCATCAGAGGTGAGCCCAACAAGTTTAGTCCCCAGGAAGCATGAGACCCATCCACTCACTTTCTGCAGCTCAAGGAGAGGCCTGGGCTTGTGAAGTCGCTCAAAGGGCACAATGCAGGTGCATGCTTCTTTACTGCTTCCCATGACCTATCGTGCTGTAAATCAGAAAGCGTTTGCTCTTCCCAGAACAGCGACGCATTCAGTTTAACTGATAGTGAGTATACAAGTAATCATTTTAATATATGCACATTTATGCATCTTTCTGTAACTCTACCAAAATTTACTATAAGAAACATGAATAGAATTTCTTTTCTCACTTCATCATTTAAAAAATGAATGCTTTTCTGAAACTTTCTGATTCTGGCTAGATATTTTCTTCCAAAGGTTATAATGTTGCTGTTAATCACCATTGATTTGATTTCAACTCATTGTGCAAACAGTTAAGCACTTAGCTAGTAGCCAAGTGGTTGGTGGTTTGAATCTACACAGAGGCCTCTGAAGACAAGCCTGGAGATCTATTTCTAAAAAACTCAGTCACTGAAAACCCTAAGGATCAGTTCTATGCTGATACATGGTGCATGGGGTTGCCATGAGGTGGGATTGACTTGATGGCAACTGGAATGAATGTAACTTCATTAACCCATTGTCGTTGAGTCAATTCTGACTCAGAGCAATCCTACAGGGCAGAGTAGAACTGCCCCATAAAGTTTCCACAGCTGTAATCTTTATGGAGGAGCTCTGGTAGCATAGTGGCTAAAGCACTTGACTGCTAACCAGAAGGCTGGCGGTTCAAACCCACCAGCCACTCCTC